GCAAGTGGTGTATCAGTGCTATAGGGCTCAGACGAACAGTCCCTAGTCTCGAGTACTCAAGGTACGCTTGCTTTGGCCGCGCACTTCGCTTCGGTATTTACAAAGGCCTAGGTGTCTGTACCGAGTTCAACGTGTACAGGCTTATTGTACTCGACAGTCAGGTTTGCGATTTTGAATAGGTACGTCAACCACTCACCAAACTTGACGCCACCAAAGCTGTTGGACATGACGGATATCACCCACCGTTGCTCAAGTCGTTAGTGGTCAAAATTTCACCTGCCGTGACCGAATAGTGCAACAGATTAGTGTCTGGTTCACTTCCGAGCGACTGGAAATGCTTAGTGGTAATGCCTATTCCGAAATGTCGTGACCCTAGTAAATTGGACAACTACAGACCAATTAATTTGACCATGAGTATTGAAATGGTCGTGAAGAAGGTTATACTACATCTCTAAGCAAAAGATCTTCTAACACCAACACAGAACGGTTTTACGCTAGGTCGCTCATGTATTACCAACCCGCACGTTGCGAGACATGAATGGCTGCAGAGAGTGAACCAGGAGCACCCTGCCTATGTAATCAACCTTGAGTTCAGTAGAACTCTCTAAGAGGTAAACCATGAGGTCCTCCTCAACCAAATGGGTGCAGGGTGTTGTTGGATCACCGCAACAGTGGATCCAGGACTTCCTCCTTGGAGGTAATTGGATGGCCCAGGTCAACGGCCATCTAACGGATTGGTATCCGTTCCCTACTGGCTTATCGTAAGATAAGGCCCTGGAGCACACTTTGTTTCTAATCCACCCCAACGATCTACTCCGACTGCTTTGATCGTCATGTGCTCTGTTTGCGAACAATCGGAAACTTTGGGTAGTGATTAGCACCTCCGACAACTGTGGACTTCTTCAGCAGGACCTCAGCCACCTCCCATGTTGTCTTCAGAATTCCCCTCAAGGTCAACCCATTCAACTCAGCACTCATGAGCTTAAGAAAGCGTGGCGGCGGCCGAATATACACCCAGGACGTCCAAACGCTACATCCCACAAATTCCGCGAAGGACTCTCGCGCTGCGATTTAAACTCCGTAAACAACACGAACAGGATAATTCGTAACGGACGGTTTCATGCTCTGGACGCTCAAGCGCAGTTACTGTACTTGGCCCGAAGAAGTCTCCACTCGCCTCTTCTTTTCCATCATAAGACCAATACTGGAGTGCGGCTCACTTGCCTACTGTCTAATCACTTGAGGCGAGGCACGGTATATCCAACGGATCCAATACGTCGATATTATTCACATTCCTAATTTACCCGCTTTGCCGTACGAAGATCAGCAAGAGAAAATAGGGGTCTACATATTGTACTATCGTCGGCAGAGAGTTGATCTTCTGGCGACCCACCGCATGTTACATCTCAATGAGTTTCCCATGCTGAGGCCACTGGTTCACTTCGCAACGCCATGAAGCACACACTGACCCCGGTGCCAGATATAAACAGAGTTCTTCACCACCTGTGATTCAAACGGAAAGAAATGAATGTTTGGTACAGTCTGTCAGAACAAGTCGTGGAGGTTAAATCTGTACAGTAGTTCGAAACCTTGTTGAATTCATATTTCACCATCATTCGATTCAGAAAGCGGTTGCACAGTAGCAATGTCATATTCCATCTGCGAGTCCAAGTAAACCTTTTGAAATACTACATATGATGTTGAAGAACCTTTAGCGTACTTAAAGTTGGCAGATGCTTTTTATGCTCCATCTGATCATATTCTAATGGGGTTGTGCTGACTTTAATTTCTACTTACTCCCACAATACAGTATCCAGTGTTTATAAGACAGTATTCAAATTGCTTATAAATATAACACGCCGTGTCAAGCGAATCATTTTGCAGTAAAAAGGACTTAAAGTTAGAACAACTCCTACATAGGTGGTTTACGCAACAATAAGTGTCGAAACCCGTTGAGGCCTTCGTAACAGCTCTGCGATAAAAATTCTTGTATGTTCTTGATACGGTGGGTGCGGATAAACTTGATTCTTTCTTTGGGTCTTTCCCACTGAATGCATTATGCTCGTCATTATTAGTTCCAACTTTATTTTCCCGCTCATATTCTACAACTGCATTCCAACAATCAGGGTTTACGAAGCTCACGAATGTGGACTTGAGGAAGCCTAGTGATCTCGACACTCACTTTCAACATCATTTTGAAGAAATGCGCCGACTACATCGGCACATAAACTGGTAACAGTTCGAACGGGAATCCCATAAATACAATTCGATCATCCGTGTACCTTTGCTGCTAAAACGCTTCAATGAACTGCTTATTCCTTGTAGTTCTAATTCGGTTATGCCAATGCTATCACTCAGTTTACTTATAAAACTAGGCGTTCCAGGTCGGACGTCCAACATATCGTGCTTATACACTAGAATCAACCTTGACAGTGCAACTACTATTTTTGGGTTTTATAAGCTTTTGAAAGCACTGGAACGTCAAATCTAGTAATCTACTGAAGGGGGAAAGGTGTTTAAATGTCAATGGGCAACCTGACGAGTAATTAGTTCGCAAATCGCTCTAAATTCACCGGCTAAACCACAGTGTCCTTCTATTCCTTGTAACTAGCTTGTATTATAGGAGGCGGTCAGCTCCGCGTTTAATGCTTTGCTATACCTATCGCAGGTTTCCCCATCCACTCTTTTGTACGTTACTATGTTGACGACTTCGTTTAGGCAGAATTGCCTCCACTGTTATGCCATCTTCGGTCCCCAATGTGGGGTAAAGGAGCATGAGCGTGATCGGCGCTCTGGTCACTTATCCACAATGGTTCCAAGTGTCAGGACGTAACATCTTTTATCCACAGCAATGAAAAGCATTGGACTTCGATAAATACTTCTCGCCTCCTGGTATGAGTGATCAGGTTATACCCGCTTTACCCATGGATACGCAGCTTGCTCAACAAATGCTGATGGAAGTTTCCGCGAACTAAGTAGACTGCCTTTAAATGTACTGAGTCTCAAAATGTTTTCAATACCCTGCTCTTTAGTTACAAAAGTTGTGATCTTCTGTATCCCACATTACTCTCTTCCGATGAATTGAAATTAAGTAAAATACGCTATGTGTGTCTGCCCTGCGTTGCAACCTTTAGTTAATAAAGGACAACATGTCCGTCACCGATTTAATTTTTTATTGTACTATAGTTAGTTTCGTGGTGCCTTACTTATATGTTCGTGTTACTCCCTCCTAACGCAGTTGTTGATCACCTACTCGCTTATCCCTTTGTTTTGCCGCCTTCCGTGAGGACAAGTTCTCCGGGAATACCGTGTCCGTATGGGCGAAATAAGAAGAGCCGTCTCTGATTCGTTTGATTATGACAGAGCGAAGGTTAAGATGTTCTGTCAGTTAATGATTACACAGTGTTATCTTCAGACGTGTTTTCCTTATCCTATGGTTCTGGGTCCTAGAAAGTTTACGAATTTGCAGCTTCACGCCGTGACTCAAAGGTAGTATTCGCACAGCCAATGTTCTAACCTAAACCGAATAACCATGGCGACACTGCGCTGATATTGTCAACCTCGGCTGTTCGGAAGTGTCCTTGAAGGTAATCAAAACAGCGAACCAACATGTTGGTCTCTTGCAGAAGGCGTTCAGGCGCTTGCATCCTTCCGTCTTCCCTCAAATGTCCAGCGCACATTAGGCCCCATGTAGAGTACGTCATTAAAAGGTTGCCAAAACGCGATCTGGCTGCTCTAGAGACCCCAGGACGAAAGGTAACCATAAATATGTAGGGCCTGTTCAACCTGCCGTACCAACTGCGATTGAATACAATAGCCGTGTATGTAGGAAGTTATCCGCGTCTACAGGGTGGCCTCATTCGGGCGCATCAGCTCTTGAAAACCCCTGTCACGCTGGCCGCCATGCCTAAAACTTAGCCGCAACTTAAACTTTGGGGTCACCAGCTGAAATTGGTCAATCAATACAGTTGACTGGATTGCCGACAGAATTAATTTCCCCGTACAATTCGTCAGGCATGGAACGCTCTTTTGAATTCTATCATGTCTTCACCCACGCCAAGCATTAAAAAGCCGCTCGACGATGCAGTACGATCTTTGAATTTCGCTGTTTGAGTGCCAACAAGACAGAAAGAAACATTGTGCTGACCAGCCCACACGAAATCGGGGTAGACTTATATACATGTGTGCTAACGTGGATAACATGGTGAGTCCACAGATGAGCGTTTCCCTTTAGTGTCAAATTTCTTTCGAACTTATGTAATACACACAATCCATAACACTGGACTTATCAGCCTTGGTTTCTTTACCCGTTCCGTTTCCCATTTTCCTTAATATCGTAATAAAATTTAATCACCATGGTCTGCGTCACACACCTATGATGTTACCTATTTGCTATTGTTCAGTATTATGTTGAGATAATCGGGCGAACGAGCAATCTAGATTTTCCCAAAGCAACATACTTTTTGCGCAATTTCGTTTTAAGCCACCATGGTAACGATCGAGGGTTACTTAGACTCCTAAAACTTTGTAACGAAACCTCAGAAGGGTTTTTGGCGCTGACGACACTTCCGTTTCTATATCAGGGCGCTAATCTTGTGCAATTAATGGAAGAGGACAATTAACCGACGATAACGGCGAACTGTAATGTTTCGTTCATTCTATTCTACCTCACGTTGGTTTGCATTTATTGTCCATACGTTTTGCCTGATTGAAGTTTCGTCTTACTGGCTTATATTTTACAGCTCTAACCATAGGTGCAATCATAATATTATTACGCAAAAATTCAATGGGTATTTATGTAGTCTGACTAATAATGCTTTTCGAAAAATAAGTTTTTGACAACTAATCAGAAGTGAAGTAAACCAATGTCAGTGTGCATTTACGAGTCTTTATTTGTCCATTGTTAAATGAGCTAACCAGAAGTATTTTACTAATTTGCAAAAAGCAGTCGTCGGTTCGGGTTTTTTGCATTTTTGATAGAAGGTATGAAAATCACTCACCATGCATTGACGGCAATCTTCCTTGATTGTTACGCCCTTGGGATCCCATTCGACGGGGCAGTTATCACAATCGTAACACTTGGTAGCGCTAGCTGTATAAAAAATTAGAAATCAATTTAAGCAAATTGTTTATGAAAGCACGTTCCTAAGTAATGTGATTTGACTGTAAAAACAAATACAATTGTACGTCGCAATCCATTTACACAACGAGTACGTTGGATGACCCTCCAAATGAAGGTTAATTTTGCTAATGCATTTTTATCACCGGCCTTAGTGGTAAATTTATTGCGCAATAGCGGATAGCTCATTAGCAGTCCCTGAGCACAGGGCTAGTTCGATGAGCTGATCCCTACTTGCAATAAATGCGTTAATGACCAGGCTTTATCTATTTAGCCCATCTGTTGGAAAGGTTCCCAGTAGTTGGTGCGGAGCCTAAAAGACATAAGGCGAATCCTTGTAATTTTATTGTATTAAAATCTACAGGGTATACAGTCAGGTAGACAGTTTTGTTGGCCGTTCGGTCGGTTGCTTGTTCTGCGCCAAAATTCGGTCAGCAAAACGGCCAAATATGTGCCTTCCCCAAGTAGGCACATTAGATGGAGATCAACGTGCAGGTTTAATGTATATTCTGTCAAAATTCCTTAACAATAACTTCCCTCTTTTTGTGCTCTATTATTCATTATCTCCGTTCTGCTTTAGCCAACTATTTAAATATTTATTATCGAGTGGAGCAGCGACAAGCGATTATGCCTATGGACTTCTTCAACTTGGTTGGTTCTTCTCTATTCTTTTTGTCACTTGCTTTCCGATTTGACCCAAATAGCTGTTCCCCAATATGACGCATTACAGTGTGTACGGCGCTCCGGACTTCTGAGGGACCCAGGGTTGATCTGTGAATTACATTCGATTTGCAAGCAGCGAAGTAAAGTGCTTCAAAAAACCACTTGGAAATCAAAAACGAAAAGCATAGGAAATGTTCCTGACTTAGTTTGCACCACCACAGCATCGAAGAGATTGCACCACTACGACATAAGCGCTTCCATAATAATAATAAAGACAATAATAATAAGATATCTCTATACTTTTACTACAATCTGCGATGGTAGAGAGAAATACTACTAAACATGTCGGACAGCGTTTGACAGAAGAACCATATACTCTGAACGACACGAACTGGATCCCCGGTTTAGCAGGTCCCTTCCTTGTTTGTGGGTCTATACGAATTAGCACTCCAAACCATGTAGCCCTGTAGGACGGCGCATATATTGACGACCAGGCAACAATGTGAGAACCTTTCAGCGTGTTCTTCGCTAATACTTTATCACATGAATTGGCATCATTGTCAGCGGTACCTGATTTTCCAAACGTTGCACGTCTATTTAACGTAGAGTTCACCGCTTCGAAAATTAGAGAACAGGTTTAGCGATTGAATTCATCCTTCCACCGGAAATCGGATGGAATAATACGAGGCCAGATTGAACAAGCTAGGTAGTGCTTTCCATTTGCAGCAAATCAATCTGTTTTCGCTATTCTAAATAATCGGCCGCTCTCCACGAATTGGAAAACGTGGCTTATCATACCTGGATATAAAAGCGAGTCAGTGCATAATGTCGCTAAGTAACTAACCATCAACAAAACACACGCCTATCATTTCAAGAATAATGAAATGGATGGTTAGCAACGCAACGATTAGTTTCCTCTTCTTTGAAAAGAACTCATCAATAAGGCGCAACATGGTTTTCTACAGGCCCGTCCTGTGCGACATGCCAGCAAGTCTTTCTAAACCACACAAAAATGGTTATTTATGCTGGAAAGTCAGTTGTAGTTATTAAGATATCTATATGTGTAAAACATTCTACCGAGTATTACATTTTAGGTTGCTCAACAACTTACACTCTACTGGTATCAGGGAACCACTACTCATTTGGCTTATATTGAGCCTCACGGATGGGAACCAGGGGGTACGAATAGATAACCAGAATTAATCCCTTTAGCTGCCCCTAGTGTGGTAATACAATGGGGGTCTTTGGTCCTTTACTGATTCTTGCTTACAGACAAACTAAATGTCTCTTGTTCTCACAGCTACGGACACAACGGAGGTTATATTGGACACTCAACACGGTCATTCATCGCTTGAAACGTGGTGTCGCAGGTAACGAATGTCGTTTGCTTCCGATAATCCCAAATATATTATCGCATAAGTGTCACAATCCACCAGATAGCATTGCCTTGAAAGGTGTCCATATCTTTCAGTGCACATCAGTTCGTGATCTAGACTTGCGATACGCGCATATGTTTAAATTCGCACTACAATGTGAATTCCAATTACCAAAGCACGAACACCCTTGTATTGAAATGTCGTTTCTGCTTATTTCCTGAGCCCCACCCCGGTTGCACAAAGCATATGTACTGCCAACCAATTCATATTGCTCAGTGGTGTGCACAAGCAACCAGATGTCGGACAAACTAAATGGTGAACTAATTCAAAGCCAAATTAACAAAAGAATAATTGGACACTCCGTAGAACTGACCTGCAGTCAGCGCCATACACTCTCTGGAATGTAAATTATATGGTTTCAAGAAATTATATTACGCCTAAGTTCACTGTTCATTGTCATACAGAGTTGTGTTCACACCGAAGGATTATAGCGCAGAATATCAGATATCCCGCACGGGAATTGCATTGTAAGATTATAAGTACAAGCACGATAACTAGGATAAACAAAATTGCCTTTCTCATGACTTACCCCAAGCTTATGGACAACTTGCCCCAACCTGACAGGAACTGCGGTAAATTACCTTGTCTGTCAAGAAACACCCCACTGTGTTAAACCTCATATCCATGCTACGGATATCTCGAACTCAGGAAACAGAAGTCGAAAATGGCGTCGACATTTCATGAGGGCAACCTGGCTTATTAAATAATCATGATATTATTTGTGAAAAAATTGATCAAGTTTCAGCAGGATGGAACAGTTCTGTTGTTAAGTTGCGTGTTGCGTAATATTGTGCTAGAATTCCACGTTGATACTTGCTTATGTCCATCTAGGAGGCTAAAAATGAGGTCATTCAATGTGAAACAACTGTAACTGGTAAGTGCCGAAAAAGAACTACTAAAGACTACATGCATGTGAGGAGGCCCTCTTTCAGTACTTTCCCAAGCATAATTAGATGATTCAGTCACTCAACACAATGAATGCATGATACGGACATGAGCTCACCGTATGGTCAAACAGCCATGTGACACACACAAAAGCACCCGCACACATGCAAACTGCACATGGTGCAGTCATTTTCCTCCAATCCTAGGTTGGATGACCTCATCTGCGAAACACAACTGTGTAACCCTTGATCTGTAATCATGTGGAAAATGTCTCGGGCTGTTAAGAAATAAAAGAATGGGTCATTTGTTTTGTTGTTTATTGTATTATCGGATTTAAGCAGCCCCAGTGACATACTCTCTTTCGCAACTCATTTTCAAGGATCATCATTCAAGAATGAGAAGACAACCCGTGCTCAAAGGCTAATTGAAATTTATAAGTCCAACCCGTTGTCGACCTTTTCCTGATAATCAAACGATGCCAGCAGCAAAACGTGCACAGGTTACTGAGCTATGAAAAGACGGTGTTTGTTTCACCATGGAGCCATAAATGGAAAACAACCCCCTCTAATATAACGGTGTTTGTATAAAATTCGGACAGAAGGCAACATACAACTGTCTATTGGAAAGTTCCGAAAGATGTTTAATACTATGGCTCAACAAAGATCGTCTAACACGTTGCGGAGTAGACAAGCACTGGTATCCAACTGAAACAAATGGGAGACATATTTATTTACGTCTTAAATGCACAACGCGCTTGAGCAATTGCGTCTGAAGACACCGCATGGCTTCAAATGTCACACATGCAACAACCACTCCCAGAGGTCACCAATTCCAGTAGATTAGAAAATTATTAGAAATGAAAACCAGAATTCGCAAGCACACTATAATTTGGCAGGTCACAGAAGGACAAACACCCCGAGGAAAAGCCTGTGTGGACCAAAAGAAAGAATACAAGCACTCTGCGTTCAACTTGGATGGGATCTGACAGCGATACATGCGCTCGTACCCCCAAGCGCCGGTGAAGAAGAAAACTTCTGATCCACCCTGAAAGAGGAGCAGCAAAACCAAAGATCTAGATTTGGAGAGCCAAATGTCATGGTCTAACAGGTCGAAAACCATTGAGAAGTCGAGAATGATTGCATCAACTCCTGTGAGTGTCTACTGTGTCGGTCTAGCTGGACCGTACTTGCAGTAGATTTGTAGTTCACGGTCGATTTCGTCGGAAGCCATGCTGTTTCGGTGTGAGATAGTTAAATTCTTCTAAGTAGGCCGTTAGCCCGTTATAAACACTAGCTTCCATGACGTCTAAAGTACTCGGGATAAGATTGCTGGATGGTTGTTGGCTGGATCGAAATGACTAACTCTTTTGCGAATCGGGGTAAGCATCTCGTGTTTTCACAGGTCGGGCCCGTACACTTCGTCAGTACAGTATTGAAGGAATGCAGTTAATGACTAAGTTAATCACTCTTCTTCTGCAGCTAGCGACTTCGGGTGCATTTTCTTAACTCTAAGAGTGTTGTGTTTACGCACACCCACCAGCTTTTTAGTACAGTTTCTGCCGTGCATGATGTGCAAGTGAGTTTTTAGGAGGAGACAACCCTGGTCATAGGGTTAGGTGGCCTGTGATCGCGCTGAAATGTTGCAACATTTTGCAAGCCCAGATTATTCGCCGCGTCCTTTGGTCTTCGTGTGACACCGTCCGCTGTTTGCAAGGGAGAAATACGCCGTGTTACATTACATTGACTGCGTACGCGTTGATACAGAAGCTTGTGCTTTGAGCGTATACGCAATACTAGTTTCTGCTGACGTACCATTTTATCTTCGCAAACAAGCTGAGTACAGTTGTTATGTAGGGTCGCAGACCATCCAGTTCTCGGTGCTCGGACAGAGCATATAAATATGACAGACTGGGTTTCGTACAGCTATACATTTGTGTGTCCTGCTTCGTACAAACGAGACCACGTTTCTCGGTTGGACACTCTCCGTCGC